GCTGATCAATAATTGCATCTGCGCCACACAGTGAGCACAGCAAGGCTCCTGCACTGACCTGCTGGTGCCACACTAAGAGTCGCACCTTGGAAACGGTTGTCAAACTGCGGCCTAGCAATCATTTAAGGGTCCTTGATGGGGATCCAGAGGGGTCCCCAGCAAAACGAGGGTTACTTCTGCTGCTGTGGCATTCATTTAGCGCTTCTGGGGGATTGCTTCACTCTACAGAGAGGATAATTGTGTTGCGTCCAAATTTCTTTGGCTCTTGCTGCAAGTGATATCGGGTTGTTGTGGAATAGCAAATTTGTGTATTTCAGAATTTTTTTATTTATTTTTTTTAATCATAAAAATGATTTATTTGACAGGACGACCGTTTGTCTGAATGCCGTGTTCAGGAAGCATCCTGTTTGAATCCCATGTGTGACACCAAAATTGTTGTGGAATTTCTTATGAGATTTAATAAACAATGAGAAATTCTATGCAATTTATTACCACTTGCAATTGGGAGAACTGCACAATATTAACAGCTCAGGGAAACTCAGCAGATGAATGTTCTCCCCCTAAACTCACAAGAAAGGGCAAAGATTTCTTCTCCAGTCCAGATTTTACCTTCTTATACAGCTGAACAAAGATTGTCCAAAGAATATCCCTCCACCAAAGCTGCTCTACATAACCCAACACACTCCATTCAGAAAATGTCTTCTCCAGGCCACAGTGACAACACATTGGCACGGCGGTGGCACCGTCGTCGTGTGTGGCTGTTTTCAGGACAGCTGGTGTTACATCATTAAGTGAATGGATAGACGGATTGGTGATTTTGCAGCAGAGACATCCTCTAAATATCTCCACCATCATTTTACAATCCAAACAGCATCAGTCACTCCCAGCCTCCGCTTCCCCGTCTTCCTCCTGTTGTTTCATTCCTCTCAGGGAGCCTCCATCTTGTTTCAGATCACAGGCAATAAAGCAGCCTGCCTCTCTGTGTCGATCTCATTCCCCCTCCGACTTCCTGTTAAAGGAATCAGTCAGTCAGAGCACTCAAAACACATATTAAACAGGCATCAGCCTCTCGCCGGGGCCAAATCACGCTGTTCAAATGTTGTTCTTCCACCGGGAGCGCAGGACAACTGAAGAGATGGGATCTGCAACATTAACTTGATTCACGGCCGCGGCGACTGAGTGACACTCCATAAGCCTCAGCGGGTTCCCACCGCCGGTGGCCCGCCGACAGCGCCCCGTGGCTAATGTGACACACGCTAGCCCCGCCGTCCCCGCAGCAGAGCGGCTCACACCCTCCGAAACCCTCACACGGGCAGGCGCGTATGGAGACGAATGCAGTGCAGGAGCACACACTGTTCAGACAACGCAACAATAAAGGCTGATCTCTTACGCCACCCACATTCCAGCACACACACACACCTGTAAATTCAGGCCTCAAAGCTGAGAATCTAGAGGTTTAACAACCTGAAATGGCACCGCTCTCTCAGATTTGCACGCTTTCAAACGGCTTTTATGGTAATGCGAAAAGAAGCTGCACAGTTACAGAGTTATTGTCTCCTGCAAGCCGACCTCTCAGCTCGCAGCGTTTCGGCGTAGGCAGTTAGCATCGGCCCCGTAGCTCCTGTGTAAATAGGTAACCTCCGCTTCTCAAAATGCCAACCTGTTCTGGCTCTCTGTGACAGTGCTGACTCCCTCCACTCTCTAACTACAGGGCTTGTCACTAGAGGTGCAAATGGAGGGGTCTGAATTGATATTTACCACACAATGCTGGCAGTGTGCAGCAACCTCACTGCAAGGTCTTTTTTTGGGGGGGTTGAATTTGTTCATGAGGAAATTAAGAATACCTCTCCGCTGTGTTGAAGGAGATGGAGTTGCACAACAACAAAAAATAAAACAATTGTGTTATAATAAAACCCTTAAAATAAATAGTTTTTATTGCAGTAGCATATTCCTACACTTCCTTGTTATCCTCCTCAATTGTGTGTAGTAAAATAAACTTGGCTACTCGTCCAGGTCTCGTTTGTTCCATTCCTGGTTGTTTGACACCTTTTGACTAATTCTGATTAATAGAGATCAACTCACATACGTCTTTCTCGAAATGCATGTTTTCTTGTCTTTCTAGTTTTGAACATGGGCTTGGAGAAGTGGTTGAGAAACATTAGAAATGTGATGATTTAATGTTTAGGAAGTCATCAGTTGTTATATACAGTAAATAAAATTATGTTTTGAGTCTGACAAAAAAAAAAAAAAACGCCACAAACAGCAGACATAGCTTCAACATGGCTCCATGCCCTCCATCGTTGGGTTGTTTTTGTGTCGGATCATGCCGGACGACACCCTCCAGAGTTGTTACTCAATTGTAATGGAAAACCACCTGAACTGTAGAGAGTTAATTCAAAATGAGTTGAGTCACACTGCTAGGTGCAAGTAGAAAGTGGTCGTTAGGTGTGTGTGGTTGTCCTCAATGGACTGGCGACTTGATGTACCCCTCCTCTCGCCCAATGACCACTGGAGATGGGCACCAGCTCCAAAGTGACCCTGCAAGGACAAGCAAGGACAGACAATGGATGGACGGATAGAAACATAAAGTCCATCTGATATACAGTGAGGTGAAAAAAGTTCCTGGGCTATGAATACTTTTTCAAAGGCACCGTATATTTATGTTTTTGCAACGCCACTCCTTTGTCGTCTCTTCTCAAAAGCGGTTCGATTAGCTTTAGGTCACAATACATCCTCACCTCTCCTAAACGAGAACGACTTCATCACTGTCTACTTAAAAACAGCAGGACTTCTGCCTCGTCAGAAGTACTTTACGCAACTCTACTTTAGAGTCAAAAATATCCCCCGAGTGTGTGTCACGCAGAGAAGAAATAGGAGTTTTATGCCGGAGAGAAAGATGAGCAGTCAGAATGTCTCATCTTTAGCTGACCTATGAAATAAAACTCTGTAGTTTTTATGTGAAGCACTAATACAACAGGCATTTTTGGTGGATAGGATTTCAGAGAAGTCCAGAAGACTCCGAATTTTGTGAAATCTCATTTCTTGAAACTGCGGGGCAAACTATCAAACTGCTGACGAAGAATTAGTGGTGACCGCATGTGTTTGAGTTAGAGCTCCCACATCCGAGTCTAAAATTCACAAGGGAGAAGAGGGCGATGGCTCAGATCCACTTTGTAGCACAAGCCTGACTTTCTAATCACATCGTCAACCTTGTGAGTTGAGGACATTAAATGTCAGGGGACGATGGGAGCATCAGTGATTGATGAGTTTGTTTCTGTATGTACCGTTCTGTTTGTGTGATCCTATAGCTGCCCCCAGGTGCAAACCTTGTATCTCTAAATGTCAACTCCTCCCAAGTAAAAAAAAAAAAAAAAAAAAAGAAACACAAGTTTTGGTGTATTACAAAGATTTGAGAGTTTTTGGGTGACTTTACAAGGTATCATAAACCTAGAAAGCTTCTCTCCCTGACAGGAATTTGTGCCTCTTCTCACTTATTGTAAATTAAGTTCAGCTTTCAGCAGCTTAGTCGTGAACAGAGGCCCCCCACCTTTTTCTTTTTTTCTTTTTCTTTTTTTTCTAAATGTCTCAAATCAAATCCCCTTTTTTCCTGCATAGATTAGCCTACAAGTGTCTGAGCCAGGCGCTGTTTAAACAATGGCATTTCTAACACTGTTTCTATCACCTTGGAAACGCCATGGCAACCTGTGATGTGAGAGGGCACAGTGTGGCTCAATTAGCAGCAGCTGTATCTCACCACGCTCCGGCAGCAGCAGAGTATCTCCATATTCTGTCTGCTTTCAAGCCCCTAAGTGACACAAATATGTGAAGTGTTACATCGCCTTTAATGTCACTTTAGGTTCCCATGATTTTTTTTTTCTCTTTCCACCCATCATATTCCTTCTCGTGTTGATGGATGCATACATACACGCAGGAAGTTGAATAGATATTCAGTAACGATAACCAACAATTCAACAACCTCCAGTTTTTGCTCAATTTTGACCTGCTGGTTTCACTTTTAGCTTATTCAGATTTCTCTTTACCTTAGGAAAGAATTAATTGCTCAAACTATTTATGTTATGCTCAGAGGTATTGCGCTGTGTGCGAGACAGCAGAGTTGTAAAATAAGGTGCCAGTGCGAAAAAGGACAAACGGTTATCATCTTTTTAAGCTGTATTTGGCACCTTAACTTAGCAGTTAGCACGGTTAGCACGGCTAATTCTAAACACCTGTCTCTGTGCTTATTCCAGACAATAGACATTCGTACCTTTGCTCTGAGACATCCAAGGCCAGCATAACATAATCGAAGGACTTGGAAGTTTAACCATAGCAACCTTGTTTTGCTCCATTTATCCTTCCTTTCATCTGCTGATAAACTAAGTAGTTAATTAGTTCGTGATGTTTATACAGCTTCTTTCACGTCTTGTAAGAACATCTTACAGATACTGAAAATAACTTTTGAGTCTTCTCAAAGTAATAACTTCCATACTGAAAAGTGTTGTCAGGGTTACATATTAGCTCTTGGGTATGGTTCATTCTCTGATGACAAAAGATTAGATTTTTCACTATCCAATGAGCCAATCACAAATTAAAATGGTCCAACTCTGGTCACTAGTCAATAGTTTGTGTTTTTTCCCTTGATCCATTTCTAGCAGTCTGCCTTCTTGTTTCCAGAGGAAGTCTTGCTCTCTCTCGCTCTCTTGCTGCCTCACTGACCATCAGACAGGTCTGGACAGGCTTTCCCTTTAAATAGTTTCCTACATCTCTGTCCTTCCTCTGACTTTACCTTTAAGCGCCACACATGACACTGAAAATAGCTAATGGTAAACGCTTTTCTCTAGTAACAACTTCCCTAGAAAATGGGGATTGGAAAAAGGATCTGATTTTTTGAGTTTCTGACTCAAACCACACTCGGCGCCTTTCCAGTTCTTGTTTTATTTCTGTTCTGTTTTCTATGAACGACTCTTCAAAAATGTAACACGAATGCGTTTGTGTCTCACTAGGTATTGTGTCCAAGTCCTTTGAATGCCGTCTGAAAGGCCAAGGAGCAACGTTTGTGGAGGCCGAGTCTGTGGAGTCGCCCGAGCACAGGAAAGGCTCGTCGGAGGCATCCAGCCACGAAGAGGCCGTCCAGCAGGTCATCATCATCCAGGGATACGGTGAGGAGGACATGGCCATCGACCAGGCCCTGGAGGAGTCGGCCGCCGCCACCCTGCAGACGCTGGCCATGGCCGGCCAGGTGGCCGAGGTGCTCCACATCACAGAGGACGGACAAGTCATAGCCTCGGGCAGGGAGGTGGCCTCGGCAGGGGCCCACCTGGCTGGAGGCAGCACCCAGTACGTGGTGGTGGAGTCTGGGGACGCCAGGAAGGACTTGCATGCGGCTGCGGGTCAGAGTCACATCGTTTCCGAGTCGTCCACCGCCCTGGACGCTCTGCTCACCGCTGTCAGCGAAATGGGCCATCAGGAGAAAGTGCAAGGAGAGGCAACTGTCGTTCATGAAGTGTTGGCCCCCGAAGCCTCGGAGGGAGCCCACGCCGCCGTGGACGTGAAGCAGGAGGAGCAAGAGGAGGTGCAGGTCATCCAGGAGGCCGGCCACGAAAACATGCAGGAGGTGCTGAAGCTCGCCGCCTCCCAGATGATGAAGGAAGGCCTCACCCAGGTCATCGTCAACGACGAGGGAACCCATTACATCGTGACCGAGCTGGAGGACTGCACCCTGCAGGTAGAGGAGGCGGTGTACGGCGGTGCGGCCGCCGGGGACGGCGAGGCACAGCAGGCGGAGCAGCAAGCAGGAGAGGAGATGGTGGTCTACCTGGACGGAGCTTCTCATAACATTGTCCTGGAAGGCTGAGGCTCGCAGCAATGACGGTCCCTGTCTGAAGTTCTGCTAAAGAGCGTCTTCAATATTGTCTCCCTCTTACAACATTATATCTGTTTTCTCAGATGATTGGAGCTATGCAACAAAGGAGCTTTTTCTGGTGCTACTCCTGTCAACTTGCAATGGTGACAGCCACCGACGACTCATTTACGTCCATACAACTTAAGCAAACGTTTAAGCAATTCTTTCTTATGGAATATGTTTTCAAAGTTTTCCTAACATATGGATTTTGCGTTCTAGAGTAAATACATTGTTCTAAGATTTTGGTTAATTTTCAGCAGGAGTTTTGCTTTGGGTCTAAAAGATGGAGGCAAATATTCAATGTTTTTGTCTCGAGTTCGTTCCTTATCCCCGCAAACAAAACAACGGTGATAATTTTGCGTTTTCTTTCCGTGTTCTCCATCTCAGTCAATCTCTTTGCTTTTAGAAAAGCTTTGGGTCAATGTAATTTTTGACAATAAAGATTGTGTAATTTTTTAACCAGTGGTATGCTTTTCTCTTCTTTTTTTTTTTGGTCTACTACACTTCAGACATCCACATTGATTCTACAGTCAACAGCTTGTATATTTTTCACAATTTTGTCTCGTTATTGACCACAGACTTCAAGATAGAATAACAAAAATGTGCTTGTAAAGTGGAAGGAAAACAAAGCATGGTTTTCCGATTGTTTTGTTTTTTTAAAAGAGAAATCAAATATAGAAAGCATGATCTTCTTCACTCTGACACCCCTAAATAAAATCCATACATCTTTTTCTTTCCTTCACTATTACTTTGTGTTGGTCTATCACATAAAACACAGTACTGCACCAGCAATATACACACACACACACACACACACAATGACTGATGGCTCCCATCATGTCTTCCGATCACCAGCAGTCATTACCTTCACCATTATCATTATCGTCCTCATGATCACCATCATCCACATCGTCGTGCTCTCACCCCACCACCATTCTCTTCTAGGTGTTCAACTCACTCTTCCCGTCTTTCTCCCTTTCTCTTTTTCTTTTTTTTTTTCCACCCGCAGCATTTAGCACTGGAGGGAGAGTCGATACTCATTTAGGCTCCAACTTTCTAATGGTTAGAGTGGGAGAGAAAGACAACGGCCAGTCGCTAAAAGTTGAGGGGAGGAGGGAGGCGAGAGTAAGCACGGATACACATGGAGGGCATCGAAAGATCATCCGTCTAACACACATATACACACAGGAACGTGGCGGAGGGAGGGAGCTGAAAGGCCAGGGAGGTTGGGAAAGAGAAGCAAAATCCAGAGTCGCGCGGAGAGAAGAACCTGTCGTTTCAGCCGACACCTACACAGCCTCAGGTCGGACCCAGTTTTTCTTCTCTTCCGTTCAGCTAAAATTGATACATTCGACATGTGAGCATCAAGAAGGGCAGCGTCCACTATTCAGGACACATCTTTGTTTTATGATGAAGTACAGTCAGGCTTGCACTGCTTAGTCCTGGCTCGACTCTGGACGAGTCAGAAGAGAAAAGTATTTCGCAGCGTCAGAAATTCAAAACTGACCCCAAAGAGAGTCTGTAGCTAATCCCTGTTTCACCTCGCTGTTCGCTCCAGACATTTCATTTTATATAACATAAAGCTAAACATGAAGCGCCTTACCATGAGTATTCATACCTCTTTAACTTTTTCACATTTTAGCAAAGCAGTAGCACAGCATGATGCCACCACCACCATGTTTTACCATAAGGAGGGTGTTCTCAGTGGTCTGATTAATGTTGCTTACTGTCACACATAACGATTCGCACGCAGGCCAAAACATTTCATCGTCTTCCCATCTGACCAAAGCACCTTTTCACACACTTACCGTCCCCTACACGGCTTTCTGTATGACATTTCCATGTCGGCTAAAAAGTTATATTTTGGTCCAATGTTTGCGTAGGTAGCATAAAGCCTGGATTAACTATGTTAACTGCTAACTATGTGGCCTCTAGAGGGAACAGGATTTTGAGTTGATCTACTGTGGCACTTAAAATGCAATCAAAACCAAATCAAGTTTATTTGTATAGCACATTTTAACACATAAAAGCACAAAAATACAAAGAAAAGACACCACACCAAACCAGTAAACATTACATTTTGTCAAGAGTCATCATTTATTATGGTTCAAAAGCAACTCCAAACAGGGGGTTTTTAGCCTTGATTTAAAGAACTCTGTGTTTCGGCTGTTTTGCAGTTTTCTGGAAGTTTGTCCCAGATTCCTGGCGCACAGAGGCTGAATGCTGCTTCTTCATGTTTGGTTCTGGTGCTGCATGTTTTAATTTGCAATGAGAACAAATGTGAGGACATGTTGGCAAAGCACTATAGAAGGTACATGATCTTATATCGATTATAAAGTATATAAGTGGTTTTTCACATAACAAGCATCAATGTTTCCCCTACTGTACCCATAATAGGAATGTGTGTCTGGGCCTGTGCTTGTACATAATTCTGCATATCTTGTCTGAGGGATTGTGTACTGTACCGTGTTCACTCCCCCTGCCTGCCGCCCCCCCCACACACACACCCAGTGTTTCTCTGTAATCAGGGCTGGATGGGCTCATTATTAACTGCGGCAGGCCACTCGTGTGACATGGAAGAGGGAGAAATTAGCAGCTGTCATCCAGTGATGAGTTCATTTCCTGACAGGCCTCTGCTCTGAAGAATCCTGCTGCAGACGACCAGACAGCTGATGGAAACCTGCCGCCGGAGCTTAATTGGAGAGCCGGAAAAGGCCAGGAGGGAGGCAGGGGAGGAGGGGTGAGAGTAGGATGCAGAGAAAAGAAGTGAGGTGAGGAAGAAGGTAAAGCGTGAAATGTAATGTTTGGAGTGCATATCCTGTCAAAAGGGAAGCAGAATTTTGACGTTCTTCAGTATTTCTCTATTGTTTTCATGTTTACTGTAAAGGAGGCTGAGGAATATTTGGAGAGCTATCAGCTGCCTCGCTAAGTTCAGTGGCGCCTTAGGAAAAGAAAAACATTAGTTGGGTCTTCCTTATTCTTAGCTTATTAAGTTATTAAGCTGTTGTGGAAAGTCCAAAGAGCCACTTGTGGCAGGACTCAGATAAACCAACACTTGTTGTGGAATATTTGTTTAGTGGAAAGAAAAAATTGGCTTCAATTTTTTTTTATTTTAAAACAGGAATGTCTAAAAAATGTTTTATTAAGCCATTACCAAAACATTTGCCTCACAGGTCCCTGCATTTCCCATCAACTCTGTGCCTGCTGAAAGGAACCATCCCCACATCATGATGCTGCTACCACCACTTGTTTAAGTATAGTTTTTACTTCGAGCCAAAAAGTTACATTTTGTTCTCTTTTCTCCTTTGAGCAGCGTGTACACAAGCTTGTTTGGCAGCACTAATATCTTCCTGCTGCTGGCTCTGATTGGTTGCTTCTTCTACAGAGGGTAATAGCAGAGGAGCTCAGTTGTTTTTTACAGATTAGCTGTCTCATCATACTGTCACGACATGGCGGCAGTTTTAACAAACATGTAAAAAAAAAAAAAAGAAAAAACACGCTTATAACCACTTCATATTTCTGCACTACTTTGTCTTAGTTTCGCATTGACATTTGTGGTTTTAAGGTCATACTCTAGATGTTCTGTTTGGACCATGTACTAATTAAGTCAATATATTTATGCCTCACTTTACTTGTAAAACATTTTTATCCTTTTGCTTCCGCTTCGTCAATCACACAAGATCTCTAAAATGCATAGAAGTTTGTTGCTGTCAATTGACAAAGAGCGAAAATAAGTTCAGCGGGTAAGAATATTATCTGCAGGGAATCTAACAAAAAAAAAAACAACAACTTGCAGTCCGACCTGAGGGGAACTCTCGTCCTTCTTCTGAGGACAACAGACGGCGACAGAAGTGCACGTAAAGGTCTCCCTCTCTCTCTTTCTCTCTGTTTTCATGAGCGTGATAAATATGGCAATTCTGTTTAGTCGCCATCTCTGGAAAACATATCTGCCCGAGGATCATTTTCCTAATGTCCCCACTATTAGTTCTGGCTACCCGGTGGCAGTATTAACATGCTCTGTTCGTGTGTGTGTGTGTGTGTGTGTGTGTGCGTGCGAGAGACAGACGGAGTCCTCGGGGTTTCAGGTACAATTCTATTAAACCCGACTTGTTTGTGTATTTCCTGTCCGTCTCCAGGTCGCTGCGCTGCTCGCCACGTACGTCCGTGTTAACAGTGGGCCCGCCGCGTCGTGGCGTATCAGAACCCACAGCGTTTGTGTCATTTCTTTATTATTATTATTATTATTATTATTATTTTGCGGCTATAAATCGATAGCTGTTAAGAGAGGCTGCGGCGGAGCGCCGGGGAAGCCACGGTTCAGTTGTGGTTCGCCTCCTCTATGGGAGTTGTTATGGTAAAACGAATATGGGGGATATCTGAGGGGTGAGCCCTGCTTGAATCTTCTCCCCTTCTCTTACTTTTTGTGCGCTATGCGCCTCTGCATTTGTGTCTTTGATCATGTTAATCCCTGCCTAGCCGCCCCACCACTTTCCCCCGCCTCACACACACACACACCTCCATGCTTGACAGAAAATTGACAACCCACTCCATCCGAGACCCCGCCTCTGGAACGACGAGCGTTCCTCATTCCCTTCGCTGAACCGCCTCAATAAAGGAGTAAAATAAAGAAAGCACTTGGGGGAGGCAGGCGTTCCCATTGACAGTCTGCAGCACTTCATTAAGGAGGCGCAGTGATTGAAAAGGGATCTGATTAGCCGCTTATGGGGAAATAGCAATGTTTCAGCCTTGAACCACAAACTACTGTAAGTGCTCTTTAATTAGCCACACAACACTGAGAAATAACACTTCAAATCATAAAAAGAAAAAAAAATGAAATAAAAAATGGATGTGAACGACAGAAAACGAAAAAAAATTACTCTCCAGAGAGCGGATCGGTGGGAGGCCGAATCCCCGCTACGCCTTTCCAAAAGCATCACTGCTGCAGGACCAGGGGTGCCACATCAGACGACCTTGATACAGGCTCCAATTTCACTTCCCAGTTCAATGCTGCGAGAAAGTATTCACCCCCTGAACCCAGTAACTGGTTGAGCCACCCCTGGCAGCCGCAGCCACCATTTGGTGCTTGTGGTAATGATGGGAAAGGGGGGATTTTTGCCCGACTCTTCTTTGCAGAACTGTTTTAATTCAGCCATATTGGAGGTTTTTCAAGCGTGAGTGGATGTTGTAAGGTCAAGCAACAGCATCTATAGTTTGAAATGGGATTAAGTCCTGGTGAAATTGGACTTTAAGGTTTTGATTTTCACGACTGGCAAGTCATCCAGGTTCCGACTCAGCAAAGCAACTCCAAACCATCACAAAACCACCACTGTGCTCGTAAATGCAATGTTCTTCATCTAAAACGCTGCTTTAGTTTAATGCCAAAAGTTCACACCTTACAGAAAGATCAACTTTTGCTGATCCGACAGATTAGATTCCAAAAGGTCTTGGGATCATCAGGA